TTACTTTTATTTGCTTCAAGAAGAGTTAATATGAAGATATAACATATTTTTAAATAAAAAAAAGAGAGATAGCCACTCTTTAAGATTTTTCTTTAGAAATTTTCTTCAAGGTTGTTCTTTGGGATTTTTTTCATTGTATGTTTAGTTTCTTATATTGAAATTTTGAAAGAAGTTTTTTTTTTTTTTTGGATTTTTAAAAAGCCCTTATTTTCTCTAAAAAGAGTTAGAATAAAGGTGTAGTGCATTTTTAAATGAAGAGAGAGTTAGCCACTCTTCAAGGTTTTTATTTCGAATTTTATTTCAAGATTTTTCTTTGGGAGTTTTTTATATTATTTATTTGATTTTGAATTTATATTTTGAAGACTTATTTCTTTCTTTATAAAATTTTTATGAAGCTCTTAGTTGCTCTAAGAAGAATTAGTATAAAATTGTAGTACCTTTTTGGATAAAGAGAAGTCAATTTCCTTATGTTGATATAAATTGTGGCTTTGTTTATTCATAAAATATGTTATATAGAGTTTTAAGAAGTAAAATTTGATGTACATATGTATAAACTGAGTAGCTCTATAAAAAGCCATGACATACTTATATCTAGTAAAGTATAGAGCTATAATAATTAATTGAATGAAGAAGGGGTGACAACTCACATACTATCATGAATATGAAGTAGTAGAGTTCATTTGAATGAAAGATATTATTTGACCACACTTATTTACAACCATAAATTCTATATTTTTCTAAAGTAAATAATTTTATTTGATACTACCCTATAATGGAACATTAATAATAGCTAAGAGGACCTATCAACTACTTTCAAAAGAAACAAAGATTAGAATATGTGGCAAATACAATTTATTATAACTTGGACTTCATCAACATATGATCATTGCTCTTTAAAGAACTTATCTCTATAAAGGGAGGTAATATTATAGACATACATATTTATTCTAATAAGCAGTTAGATAATATGAATATATAGAAATAAATTAATGTAATTAATTTGATAATATCTTATAAAAAAGCTTCTTAAAAGCTTTATAAACAAAACTTTGACTTTAAACATATTTACAGTTAATTAGTAGATTAGAAACTTGGCCAAAAAATTAGCCACATGTTACATATATTAGTAGCTTTTGATACAAGCTTATTACATAGCGTAGATATAGAAAACTTATCTTGCAAGTTAAAATATGTGTCTTTCAAGTTGGACACATATCCAAGGTCCTATAGAACATTGACATATAATTCCTAATTAGATAGTATATATAGAAGCAAGAGTGAAGCCTTCTTTATTCTTGTCAATGTCTTTATAATCTTTGGTCTTGTTTCAAGACTTTTTAATCTTTTTGTTTTTAGAGTTAGTCATTCTAGTTTAATATTATACCATCTTTGAGAGATTTTTTAATCTTTTTGAGTGAGACAAGAATATTTTGATTTTTTTAGTTCTTTGAGATTCATGTCCTTAGCAAATGCTTATTATGCATCAAATTTGGCTACTGCCTCAATTAATATGAAGAGAAATTAATCAAAAAGTTATAAAAATAAAAAATAATTATTCAATAATTGTACCATCTTAAGTAATTCATATAAATGCATTAGTTTTAAAATCAAAATTATTCTTCTAAAAAAATTTGATAATACTAAATCTAAGTTTTGAAAATCCATTAATCAAGTAAAATTCGATATTCAACTCCCACCTTTCATTTATTTAACTCATATATTTCAAGTAGGATTTATTAAAAAAATATATATATATATTTGATCTTTTTTTTTTGTTGTTTTTAAAAAAAATATTTTATATCAAATTACTTGAATTTATTTTTTATAGAAATTTAGATTTATGTATAGAAAAAAATTTAATTTAAATTTTTTTGGATCATTGTAGAATATAGATCTTTATAATTTGTAGAATAATTTACAAAATTAAAATTAAAGAAAAATATTTATTTGTATCAACATACTCATCACAATTTTTAAAATTAAAAATTGATATCATGTAGAATAATACTTTATTTATTATTTCTTGTATTCATAGACAATAATATAGTATAAAGAAATTATTGCTCAACTTGTTTGATCCTCAAACTTAAGTTATCTTAAGTAGAATAGAAAATCTTCATACAACAACAAAGAAGGCTCAAGAACCAAAAAAAAAAAAAACAAAACAAAACAAAAAAAAAACAAAAAACAAAAAACAAAACAAAACAAAACTAATGCATTTGTTTTTAGAAATGAATAATTTCTATTCAATATTGGTAATAAAATATGATTATTTTGTCATAAAATTAAGACTAATAAATTTTGCAACAAATTGGATTATCAATAATTTCATGTATTTGCCATCTAAAAATTATATTTTTATTTCATATTAATTATAAATATTGCTATCAATAAATATTTACCACATATTTTATGTATCTATTTTTAAATTTTATATTACAATCAACATAGAAAAGAAAAATAAATAAATAAATAAATTCACCACCACTTCTCATTAAAATAGATAGTAACAAAGAGTTTGAAGAGAAAGAAGACTTGGATTTGAGGAGAAATTAAACTAAATTAGAATATCTTGTACATTAGTGTAGATATGTTGTCAATCTAAGAAGCTATTGTAAAAAAAAATGAGTGTATTTATAATTATTTATTCAATAAAAATAATTAATTTTTATCTTAAATTTTCATTTAGTATGAAATTTTATTTAAATATCATCTAATATATATTTTTAACATAAGTATGTAATTTTATTTTTAGAAAAAGATTCTATTTTTATTTTAATCTTATTCATTTATGTGTTATTATGTTACTTTGTTTTTGATACAGTAGGAATAAATCCTTGGAGTAAGCTCTATCAAGGTTAGTTGAAATTTCATAACTAATATTCAAATTGCCAAACTCAATAATACTATTTTATAATGTTTGGGTAACATCACATCCTTTGATATTTTCAAGTGTGCTTGTGCTCGTTTGAGAATTAGGGTTGGATTGTGGAGGGGCCACATGTTGTTGTTGTTGTTGTTCAGTTGCAAAAAATGCGTCACGCTCGCTGCGTCGTAGACAACGCGTGAGAATGAATGGATTCGCACAAAGGAGAATGATGTGCCCATCAATGCCACCACAGTTGTGTTCTTCTGTGCACAACTGGCAATGACTTGTTTATACTTGCTCATGTTTATTTATATATTTAATTGATTCTCGATGCCTCACCATGGCCTCATCCGAACTGCTTCTGTGTACTGCAGTTTTTAAAAAACGATAGTACAACACAGATTAGTTACTGGGCATCTTCGTGGAGTGTCGAGTGCGGAGGATGCGAAACACCCAATTTTTGTGTGCAGTAGATATTATTGTTGAGAAGGCTCCTTCTCAAATTACCAGCATGATTGTGCAATTCGGAAGGAGTCGTTGAAAAGGGTATTTGCGTGAACGTTTCAAGTGGGGACAACAGCTAGATAAGCTTGGAAGTTTGCTGCTCTTTTGGTAATCTTTAAGCATAAGAAAACTTTGTTCTTCTTCTTTCAATTTTTCTATGCCTTGGATTCACGCGTTTCCTTCTGAGATCCTCAGTCCCAAGCGGCCTTGTATCAGAAGTATGCCATTACTGGAGAAGATTCGGACCATTCCCAGCGGAACCACGGAAATAAGTAAATAAATAAATAACGAATAAAAAGGAAGAAAAAGGGAACCATTTCACATCAGCTCAAAGCAACATTAAGCAAAGGAAAGGTCTATATCCATTATGCATGTATTTTTTTTTTTTGCGTCGCTGGTCAAGATTGACACCCATCATTTGCAGAGATGTACCGTTGAGACTTCGAAATATACTGACATTGCATTTGAGTAGAGCAGGCTACCGTTACATTTTCCACTAAGTTAAATTAACATTTTTACGGCACAACATGGGAACAAAATAGGAAGGCAACCTCCCTATCGTGAATACACTCATCAGCAAAACGAAGTGGAGAAGGGGGAGTCAAGGAAACATCGCACAACTGCATATAGATTGGAAAGACTGAAATAAGGATGACGAGTGACAAAATTTGATCCGAGAGAATGCTCGTCATTTATTTAACCGATTCCATTCTCCGTATGTAAATAAATGACGAGCATTCTCCGGCGTCAAAGTTTCCTATTGTGGAAAAAAATGAGAAGCTGAATTTGCGGCTCATAACAACACAGCAAGACCAACCAAACAAATAAATAAAACCAAAGTATTGATTATTGCACGAATCCAACATTCGTCTCTTATTGCAAGGTCATGTAACGAAAAATTACACCTTTATAACAAATTTAATAAGCTCCGTCAGCATCAGAATCACAACTACAGTTCATCACGGGTTTATACAACAAGTGCAAAGTACAGGTCTTTAATCTGATACTTCCACAACTTTCACCCTACTTCAAGGAATCCTACATGTAGTCAGAGAAGCACAACTAACCAACTCTTTGGTAGAGGTCTCAACAAGAAACAACACAAGCTGACAGAAATCTAGATGGAGAATCATCAGGACAAGGGACATCATCTCGGCTACATACAACCGCAAACGCTATGGCCAGCAGTAAGTGCGGTGTGCATTGCTCTAGTCATATCTAACACACGTTAAACAAGAATTCACACACACGCATTCGATCTAGTTAGGGTCAAGTAAATCCAAGCCTGCAGACTCTCTGTGTGTCCAGGGGACATGTTCCCTAACTAGATATCTGTTCGCACGAAGTGCAAATCGATTGCTAAGATTGGCACTGCAGCAACATATGTATCTGCTGACGCTCAGTCGCCGATTCTGTTACTATGTTAATTAGGATGGGAGAGGATGTATGTGCCTTTAAATTCTTTCTTTAACATCCTTAGTTTGATCATGTTTCATGTTCAGATTCTGCAACTTACATATGAGCGCGTGAGAACTGTTAAGTTTTTATTAGCAGTGAGGAGGTCCTCGTGCATCGCACTTGTCCCAAATCCATGGGGGAATACTCAAAACTCAGGACAAATGAGATATCGTGGAGGATATGCTTAAAGCAGAACCTGTTACCCCGAAAAAAAATAGCATGCAGAAGAATTTACACAGGATCCTAGAGGATTCTGAATGTTCACAGGACACCTTAAGTACGCACCAATGGGTGAAACAGGCCGTGCAGATATCAACGGAAACCACACGCGTCAATGGTAGATGTAGAACTAATTAGTGTCAGGTGCCCAATGTAGGCGAACTGGGCTATTGTCTATTTCATAGACGGGTTGGCCTCTTTTATGGTAACGACATAAAAGCATCCACGTACAAGGCGCATTCCATGTGGATGCCGAACACATATTATGAAAAATTTAATCAGGAAACCCCTATGCTACACTATCTATCCCAGAAGAGTTTTACACCAAATTTCTTTAGGCACTGGCAGCGACAACTGGAGCAGCAGCTGGGGCAGCTGGCTGAAGAGTACTGTGTGCGGAGTTCTTCGGTAGAAGCCTCCTAACAATTTTTTGAAAGAACTTGTTCTTAGGTTTGTCCTCCTTTACCACAGCCTTCTCCTCCACACCCTCAGAAGGGGCTACTTGGGTCTCTTCCGTTGCAGGAGTTGCCTCGTCAGCCACTACTGCCGGTGCCTCAGCAGCAGGTGTGGCTTCTGCTACAGCTGGTGGTGTGGTTGTCTCAGCAACAGGCTCAGCTACGGCGGGTGCTGTGGTCTGCGTTTCACAAATGTTCACAATTAGGAACTCCGATTACAGTCAGTGAACTAACACTGACTGAAATTAACCCACAAAAGTAACTGCCTTGAAAATCTGATTTCTCACCTCTGTCTCAGGAGGAGTCGAGACGGGCACACTCTCGGCTTCCTTCGCCGCCTCCACAATAGCTGAGGGAGCTGCTGCAGCTGGCGTAGTACCCTGCTTCGTTTCAGGAATAGCTCCACTGAAGGAGTGGCTCTTTGTGAAGAATGACTTCTTCACTAACTTATTGAAAAAGTTCTTGCCTTCGCTTACCTTCTCTTGGAGCTTCTCACCAGTGGAGGGCTTGCTCTCGGTTGTGGCAGCAGGTGGGGTGGTCTCTGACGCGGGAGAGGCCTGAACTGCAGGGGACGGTTCGGCGGTTTCAGCTACTTCCTCCTTAGGAGCCTCCTTCGGAGCTTCCTTCGATGGAGCCTCTTTCGAAGGAGACTCCTTGTTCTTGCTGATCTTTGGAAACTCGAAGGTCTTCTTAAACTTCTGAAATAAAGAAGGATGGTCCGATTTTGTTGGGGCAGGAGCATCTGTGGCTTTCATCTCCACTGCTTATCGCATTGACACAAAAAACCGATTTATTTTAGACCAACAGGCACTGCGGAAATAGTTAAACTCTATTATAATGACCAGACTCAAAGTACTAACAACGCCAACCTTCCTAATTCCGCTAATCAAGAGAAGAACTTTACCAGCAGGGGCGACATCCTCCTTAATATCCACAGGAATCTCGACAGCCTCGACCTTCACATCCTTAGATTCCTCAGTTGCGGGGACAGAACATTCCGCTGGAGGAGCAGAGGTCTCAACAGCAGGGGCAGGAGCTTCGACCACAGTCTCTTGAGAAGCCTCGGCAGCTTCTGGTGCCGAAGGTTTCTCGGCTTCGGCTGCTGGAGAATAATCATGATAACCATTGTTAAAAAGATTGGAATTTATGAAAAGGTTCCTTAGGACGTCAAAAGAAAACCTCAGGTAGCATAAAGAGATGTATTCAAAACCATTACAATCGATACCAACATTGGTAGTTTTGACGAAGAAACTTGGTATTAAAATGATTTCTAAAGCCGCTGGCATGAACTTGTAACAACAGATTCAGTAGCTACTGCAATCATTCTAAAAGTCATCCCAGGCGTCCATTAAAACGAATCTGAGAGTCTTAATGCAACGACTCCTTTCACACTTAGTGTATGTGAAAGCCTAAAATGGCCTGGCATCCGGATCATGGCTATGCGGGACTTCAGTGGTCTGGGATAATGAACAAGAGTGCAAGAAGAGGCCATCTGATGGGACTATGTGAGCTAAGGAAACAAAACCCAATCTTGGTACTGCTCGTGAAAGGAGATTTCGGAGCCTTAAAAGTAGAGAAAGAGGAAGGTGCTTAAGAAGACTTTGTACCTTCGAAGGCATTTAGTAAGTTGTATACTATTGAAGCAAATTGTATCTTAAGTTTTAAAGCCCATATTTCAATATTTGGGATGATAATGTTGTTCGATATAATCAAGGTGAAGGGAGTCTCTCATTTCTGCTAGAACGAAAACCCGGCTCTCCTCACCCAAAACAACATAGATTTTCGAAACTTCACAAAAAATGATGATGTTAAACGCAAGAAGGCTGTAGAACGTACTCGCTGGTTCATCGACCGCTGGTTTCTCAGTCGTGAGCTCTTCAGACTTAGGAGGTGATGCCGGTGCAGCCTCCGGGGCTACTGAAGGCACTGCCTCTACTTTCTCAACCTCGGGGGCGACGTCGGCGATCTTGGCAGTGGATTCGGCCATCTCTTAATTACCGAGAAGTACAGAACTCGCACTAGCACTCTTCAAAGAGAAACGAGCTTGAGAACAGGAAAGATCAAGCAAATATGACTGCCTGAAAGGTATCAACAACAATGTTAGAGGTCCCGATCCAGGTTTTCCCTCTTGTAGTAATGAAGCCAAAACATGGTCTGCACAACTACAGCATTATCACCACCGACTACAGCGTCTGGAAGGTAGTTTAAAACTGTAGAAACATAGCATACTCTCTGACGATCCAACGCAGGCGATAAAAATGCCTGTCAAAATCTGATAAAATGTGAAGGTCCGTAGACACTTCGCCTGGAAACATTCACGCACCGAATAAGATTCTAGAATAAAAACGAGGAATTTCCTCAACAAAGACTTCACTACGAGACCAACTACAACTCCGTTTTCGGTCCTCTTCAGCTGGAAGAGAAGACAAACTTGTTGTTGTTCGCAAAATACAGAGGAGACATTCATGCATGAAAAAAAGATCTTCCCCGAATGCAAGGAACAGGGAGTGCAGCACAGTGCAGAAAGTATAACCTGTGTGACTGAGACTACTCCGTGATGAGCAGGAGATGAAAGTTATATGTAGAAAGAAAACACAACGCGAAAATAACAAACAAGAACAGGAGAAGAAGGGAACTCGAAAAAGCAAGAAGAAGAGCAGGAGACAGAAGAGAGAGAGAGGAGGGATGGAGGACTCCTGAGACGCCGTGCACCAGGAGAGGATTCTAGATGTGTAATGTAAGCTACCGGGTGGTTAAGTATGGGAACGGGAAGCGAGAAGCGCGCAGGGAAGGTTTGATACTGGTGTGGAGGCGCGCGAGCTCCACGGATCCAGGCAATTCCGCAATAACACTAGACACGGTGTGATGCCAGAGAAGGGAAGTGTCAAAACAAGCAGCCAGCTACAGGAGCGGCGAGCTACGGGGGCGCTCCGCCGGGCTGCACGTCCGTCCTTTGCGTCGGTCAGGCCCGGGAAAACCCCATCTCCACCACCCTGTCTCCATTACCCCTGTCCCTCCTTCCCTTCGCCCGCGCTTCCGGTAACTCCACCCCTTTCACGGCAACACCCCGATTGAGCTTGCAGACGCACAACCAAAAGGGGGTGTGGACAAAACTGTCACGGTACTCCACCTCAGCAAGAGTAAAGCGCCATGGCTGCAATATTTTTCACTCTTGCTCTCTGGGGGGCGGTACACGGGCTGTGAAACTCAAAACCCCCGCCAGAGTTTACAAGTGCGGGACGGGGCGTACACTCGCAAATTTGGGAATTTAAAATAAGAGTTTTAACTGATCGCGAGGAGTGTATTACAGTTGTGTTCGTGGGGTGGGTGGGAGTGGCCCGGCGTTTAAGTGTTGTGGTCGCTTTCTATTCTGGTCCACGATCGTCTCTCACACCCTTGTTTTGCTCTCTCTGGGTGCCCCCACCTTTGCGTTGCCTGAAAGGAAGCGCTCCTCGATGCATCCATTGATGAATGGATGGATGTGTCGATGGATTACGGCCTCGCATCCTTATTCAATCCATCTGGAGCTTCCTAACAGCTATGCTTCACGCGCTGTGAGGGCCTGTTCGTCGGCAACTTCGCACCTTGCCCGACATCGTTCATCCGTTTAGGTTGGGAGATTGTTTGAAACGCTCTGGTGTCGGGAACAGCGGGCAGCTGCCCTAAAACTTTTGCAATCATTGATTCCATCTCTGAGGAGTTAGCGGAATTCCAGCGGCTATGCTCAGATGCCGTCGAGAGAGATTTCTGGATCCCCACATGCTCTCGCCTCGCTTCCAGTCACAAGCCCACTGTCACGGTTATGTCTAAGATAGGCTTCCTCTGCTGCCCTCCTCTCATTTAGGGTTAGTTTGGCTTTGTAATTTGGGGCTGATTTGAAGATTCCCCGGGCCGTGGCTGCGGTGGCTTCCGGAGCAGCATTAACACTTCGCAGCTGCACACAGAGACTGGTGTGCTGGACTTCTGGCTGGGACCCATCACTGCTCTGCGGTTATGACAAGGATGCAACGCACCACTGGGTTCACAAGACCAAAGCAGCAGTATTGCTCCACCTCCTCTGCCCTTGATTTGCTTTGCTCAGCTTGCTTTCTGCTGCTCCTCATCTTCCTCCTCCTCCTTTCCACATCCATTGTTGGGCCATCAAGGTTTACCCAACATTCGTTTTCTGTACAATCCACTGCACCCAGACACTGCAGCAACCGAAACTGCAATGTGGGTGCCTCCATTTAATCCGGCCTAAGATGCATTTAAACCTGTCTGCAGGTTATTCCTCAACAACTCTCAGGTCGTCTCGAATCTGCAGGATTGCATTGTGATACATTACTTTGTGTAGAATTGCATCAGCAAGTTTGGCAGCACTACATGTCCACTTAATAATTAATATATAACCCACGTACATGTTAAGTTGTTTATTCCTATCAAAAAATTAGTAACTAAGATTGATGATTGAGTCCTCCATGTTCGTGAATACGTGGAAGGAAACAGTGCTTCGTACTATAAATATTGCTATATATTCAGCGTTTTTTCAATTCTTTTCTAGAACAATAATGTATATATAGGTTGAATATAGAAATAAAAATAGAAAAGGTTGGTTTTCAATCAAACCGAATTTTTCATGTGAAAAAAAAATTACGAATGATAACACATTTTACAATATAAAAATTTAAAGTTACCACTGAGTCTGACTTTAAGAATAATGCTGAATGTATTAATACTTATCATTCATGTTCATGTACTTTGATTACTTGTTACTTAAATTTGTCGTTGATGTGCATTTTGAACCATGAACACATGATAAGATTACTAAGGCATATTCTAATCTATCTTTTTCTTGAAGTAAATGAATAATATATATAGATGTATAAAAATATTTATGTAAACCATGAAAATATAATTCATTACGTAAAGGTATAAGAATTCGACATAAGAATACCAATATCACTAGGTAAAATAATACGTAGATTAAAATCAAAAAAATAAAAAACCAAGTGCCCCAAATCATTCCAATAATAATCCTGTATGAGATTTTACATTCTAAGGACAAATGCTTTTAGGTAGTGCAATTCCAATTGAAGCAACCAATATGTCTTGTTTGACTTATATACAGTATTCCTAACTATCACAATCAATGGTTTGTACTAGATTTCAATAAAGAAACACCAATTTATTGCTGATTTACCCACCAGAATTAAACCAGTACATGATATGTCATTTTAGTAAAGTCAAAACATGGAGCTTATGTCACCAAATTCCTTTTAATGGACCATCAGCTGGATCAGTGATCTTGGTAACTAGTTCACTATCACAGCACAGAATCAAAAGTGTAAAATAATAATAATAATACACAAAGAACTTAAAAATTATAATACCTTCAAATATCAAAACTATTTATATGAGACTGCTTTTGTTTCCAAATTTCTCATCGTAAATCAAATGCTTGAAGAAATAGGCGACCCAAAAATAAGTTTTAGATGAGTTTCAATCGATTCTCCTCTTCATGAAAGCGAAAAAGAATAATAGCCAAAATATCAAAAGTGAACTAAGAAAAAGTTTGGAGCCAACTATTGAATTGCTATTGCCCCGTGACCTTGACCACGGTGGTCCCTTCGACCGTGGTCACTCCTTGAGAACGAAAATCTCTGTCACCGCGGACAGCTCTGTGACCGTGCCGTTGGCCCATCGCTGCAGCTTGCCTCCAAGTGCAGTGAACATCCCGTGCTGGCTCGACGCCGTAGATTGCGAGCGGCAAACTCGTGTTCTGTCGATTTGGTTTTAAAGATATCAACCCCAGCATCAATTTGGGAGAATCCAACAGCGTCGAAAGGCATTAGTTAAAAAGGAGCAATTCGGACAGCTCAGTGTCGAGGGCACCACAGTAGCCGAACCAATTGTTCCCCGAAGATATCAGCTCTAACCAATTACTGGCGTGGTACACAGGTTGCGAAATCCTAACCAAATTCAACTCCCTGCACAGCATCGAACAATCGCTCCGGCATGTGCCCGATCACATCGCCCGCATCAGGATGTTTGGCCAGCCCACCTTCAAGTGTCCGCAGAATGCGATGATCCCAGGAACAAAATGCACCGCACTGAAGGAATTGGAAGGGGCTTGAAGAAAATGTGAAGAAGGATTGGCAACACTGTAATGCATTGCTATTCACAATGAAGAATGCCCGTATGCATGCATGGAAGCAAGATGGTCTTCTTCCTCACATAATTCTCGATATGCACATGCGGGATTCTTTCATGTATTCCTTCTTCTTCTACTTCTTCTTTACATATATATATATATATATATATATATTTTTATAGGTTTTGTGGAGAAAAAAAAAAAAAGGAAAAAAAGACACTGCATTATTGGACAACTTTATAAATTGTGTATATTTTACTCAATAGTGGTGTTGAAAGTGTGTAGGTTGTTGAGAGGGTTTTTTTGGAGAATGTCATATTACACGAGAGAAGAAAGATGTTGCTTGTTTAGAACGTTTTTGATTATTCTTTGTTGCTAAGCATAGTTGCATTGTCTGAGGACATTAAACTATCATAGTCCACAACTATTTATAGTTTTTTTTTAAAAAATATTATTCCTTTTTATACATGCAACAATTTTCTCTTATTTTATAGTTATTTAGAAGCAATTAACTATAAATTTATAGTAGCAATCACATCTTATTATCTTATTTACATTATTTTAGATTCTTTATGAAATCCATATAAAAGGTATAATACTTTTAATATTTCTATGACATCTTATAAATCCTAAACAATATTCTAATACCTTGTAAATTTAAAAAGAACTCATAGCTCACATCAATTGTCAAATAAATTACATACTTTGTTGTATGAAAGCATCATGGATTTTAATTTAAACACGTTTTTTTAAGATTTTTATAGAATAAAAAATGTATAAATATATAATAGCTTACTAGAATAAAAAAAAAAAGCTGAAAATATCATCAAGTAGGCCAATGAGGCTCTCAATGTTTTGAAATTTTAATATAATTTAATTCTTGTATAATTAATTGAAAAAAATATATGTATGTACGTATATATATATATATATATATATAAGAATAATTAAATTCATGTAGACATTTTACTTGCTTCATCCATCCACACCTCATCCATAATATGGCGGGAAGGTGACCCAGAGTAGATGGCGGAGGGAGTGCCACGTGGAAGGAGCTGCTGCGCAGAAAGGAGACAGGACACTGGTCGGAAGTAATCCGCAGCTTCTGCAACGCTTCACGTGACGAGTCTGATAGGACCCCGCCAGGCTGGCGATTCTGGGCCGTGCCATTGGAGAGCAGCTAGCCAATGCTGTCCTCACGTGCCAGCGCGCCCATAGAGGATCCTCCCTCTGTGCCAGTGGGGACATATCCCCTCGCCCCCTGGGTTCCCCTCTCTCTAGCTCTCTCTCTCCCTCATCGTAGTTCCTACTCTGCTGTAAAGTTGGTTATTATTTAGAATGAGAGATTCCATGAATAATAATCTTTTTATGTCTCCATTTTCTGGAATTTTGTAGGGTGGAATATTGAAGTTACGAAAGAGAGTATCACATATATATATATATATATATATATATATATTGTGTTTTATGTTTAACACAATCCTTTTTCACGATTTGATTACAGTGGATTGGAATTGGTGTGTGAGATTTGACTTGGAATTGTATTGTATGCTCTTCTTGTGAGGATGTGTTTCACACTTGAATCCAACTAATAAAAACTATGTACAGAATAGGGAGAAAGATGTTTCTTCTATATTTGGTGTACAGGGAGTGAACTATTGTAGTGACATTGTCATATTACAAACCAAGTATTGTATTAAGTCCTACCTTTTGATGTCACTGTCTGCAATGATGTATTTGTCTAATATGCTTTCATGGATAAATTATGCTTCCTTAACATTCCAAATAATCATTTATATGTTATTTGATTGA